GAGTAGGAGATTGCTCCATCCACACAGTTTAGCGTATGTGAAGGTATCTGTTGTACTTTTTCAATCTGACTATAGAAAATCTGCAGATGTGTACGGCCAGCTTAAGGTAGTTTCCTCTTTGTCCATCGTGATCGACGTGGATCTACATCATTGGATGATGTGATTGGTGTGTGGATTATATCAATGGACATTTGTGTGGGGGGGGTTCAAGGACTTGTCAAAAACTGTGTTTTGTTTTTTTGTTTTTAAATAAAGGGGTTTTTTATGGTGTGATGTGTTTATTTACTATTTTACTATATTTGGTGAATGAGTAGAAACTACCCCTTACATATTCACAAGAGGGGCGGTATCTGGGTGCCCCCTATATGAAAGGGGGCACCCAGATTCAGATAACCCTTCCCGTGGACCCCCAAAACCCCTGGGCCAGGGTTGTGGGGAAGAGGCCATTGTGCTCATCGACATGGGGACAAGGTGCTTTGCCAGGGGTCTCCCTCTGGCAAAGCACCCTCCCCATGTTGAGTGCATGTGGCCTGGTATAGCGTAAGGGGGGCCCACATGCTCATTCCACAAATCTTTAACAACACAAGTTCATTCCAAATGACATTGGGGAAAAATTTTGGATGCATCCAAATTTCATCGGAACATTTGGATACATTCGGATTCGTTATTTCTTTCATTCGGAAATTTGAATATGCTGATATTTGTCTGAATTCAATTCGTAACAGAACCAATCGCATGTGTCTACTAGATTGGTTAGTGCTTCCTGTGCTTTCCTAATCTCTAATGTGGTCAAGTGATTATCGATCTCGACCGCAGTGACGAAAAAATTTGAAGGAGCATGTTGGAAAGATTTTCTTGATCAAACGAAACAGTGAATGTGGAGGCCGCTGTCAGAATACAAAAGAAACAGCGGGGATTCCTTGAACAATGCACTCGTAGTGTTGATGGAGAAATCTGCTCTATTTTTTTCCTTCAGCCCGTGGGTTGAAGGAAAAAATAGCCAGCTTAAGCAGCTGCAAGAGAAACTAAAAATGAAATAGATTGTTGTTGCAAATCAGAAGAAGATACAATTATTCTGTTAAGTTTTTTTCCAAACCATAAGCAATTATGATTTCGTGACAGAGATTTATCAGTTTCTAAACACTTTGATCCCTTCTACCTATTCTCTGAGGAACTGATAAAGAAGTGGACAGCACCACCATCGGTTTTATCTCAACTTACCAAGGTAATAGTTATCCCAATTATCGTTATCCTTTAGTTGACAAAATTCTGGAGATCTTTACCACGCTCTTTTTTTTTTCCACCTGTTGGTTCTGCTCTAAGAGCAGTTGTTGCCTGCTAGTGTTGGTACCAATACCTCAATGATATGGCAGATCAGTTGGTCCACGCAGCGAAGAACATTATGTATTGCTTACCTGGACGAAGGACAAGTGATTGCCCATATCAGCCCTAGGACTGTTTGAGAAGAGTTCTTTGGCTACTGACCAAGTATATAAAGTCTCTTTCAATAGATGGAATTATCGAAGATGCTACAGGATGAGAAAGCATCCATCTCCCTCAAACACAGGGACTGAGATCTGCTACCTGCAAAAGTGCCCACATCTTTTGTCCCTTTTAGCCATCATTTTACCCACAGTGGAAGAGCTCAAAATATTCTGTTCTTCAAAGCTAAATCTCAACCCAAGCAAAAGTCCTCTTGGTCTGCTAAGAAATATAAAGGTCCTCTCCACTTGTGGAAAACTGAGTGAGAAGAGATTGTTGATTGCATATTTTGGCTCTGAAATTTCTCAGATTATTATTATTACATAGTATTTATATAGCGTCAACAGTTTGCACAGCGCTTTACAATATAAGGAAGACATTACAATACAATTCAAGACAAGATGGTAAGGAGGGCCCTGTCCCTGATGGCTTACAATCTAAAATAGGAGGGGGAAATGATACATGGGGTAGCTGTGTGGGGAGGAATTATTTGAGAATGTGATGGTTCAGTTGTTAGGTTGAGGTGGGATAGGCTTCCTTGAAGAGATGAGTCTTTAGGGAACGCCTAAAGGCAGTCAAGGTGGGAGATAGACAGACTGGTTGGGGTAAAGAGTTCCACAGGATGGGAGAGACTCTAAAGAAGTCCTGGAGGCGAGTATGGGAGGAGTGGACAAGGGAGCTGGAAAGCAGGAGGTCAATGGAAGAGCGGAGTGGACGGTTAGGGTGATATTTTGAGACAAGGTCTGAGATATATCCGGCTCAGAGTTGTGGATGGCTTTATAAGTGACTGTCAATATTTTGAATTTTATCCTCTGGGCAAGTGGAAGCCAGAGTAGGGATTGGCAGAGGGGGGATGCAGACACTGAGCGGTTGGTAAGGTGAATTAGTCTAGCAGCTGCATTCATGATAGACTGAAGGGGGGATAGCCTGTGTAGTGGAAGGCCAATGAGGAGGGAGTTACAATAGTCAAGACGAGATACCAAGCGAGTGGATGAGTAGTTTTGTGGTTTCTTTGGTGAGGAAGGGTCGTATTTTTGAGATGTTACGAAGGTGAATGCGGCAGGATTTGGATAGCGATTGGATGTGGGGAAGAAAGGTGAGGTCCGAGTCAAGGATGACACCTAGGGCCTTGGCATGAGGGGAGGTTTGGATAGTTGTGTTATCAATCTCAACTGAAATGTTGGGGAAGGTGCACGTGCAGGAGGAAATATCATGAGCTCAGTTTTTGAAAGGTTGAGTTTGAAGAAATGTTGTGACATCCAGACTGATATGTCAGTTAGTAGATTAGTGACATGCAAGGACACAGAGGGGGTGAGTTGTGGAGTGGAAAGATAAATTTGAGTGTCATCGGCATAGAGATGGTATTGGAAGCCATGTGAGGTTATTAGTTGACCAAGGGAGGAGGTGTAGATGGAGAAGAGGAGGGGTCCAAGGACAGAGCCTTGGGGGACCCCTACAGAAAGAGGAAGAGGAGGGGAGGAGTTAGAATTGTAAGTGACACTAAAGGAGCGCTTAGGTAGGAAGAGAACCACGAGAGAGCATATGCCTGGGCATCTTAACTAAGTACAAGTTTCTATCATCCACCATGACAGGTTTTTTCGCTTCATGTCACCCTTACTCCCCTTAGGGGATGTCAGTTCTTTTCAAGGTCTTACAGGGTCTCACTTCTCAGGGAGTGGTGTTCCTGATGCCACCTCATATATTTTCTGAAGTGTATTTATTTATGGTACATACATGAGTCAGGACTATCTGCCCATTCTGGATTTTAAGGCTCTCATTGCTTTCATCTGTCTCCAGAGAATTTGTTTGGAGTCCATCACACCAGTGGTGGCCCCTGAGGACCAGGTAGACATGCGATCTCCATGTCTCCATCTTTCCTTAGCATCAGCAATTTCTACGCTTTGTGATATAGATAATTGCGCTGAGTATAAAAAAAACATTTGTAGCCCCCATCACCTTCTGTGATGTGGCTACTAGACATTTAGTGATAGCCAGGGCTGTAGTCAGCCTGGCTGGATTTATAGTGGCAATTATCTGGTTAATTCCAGGTGTCTGACATTGCCTGTACCCCCCTGGGTGAAGTGTGACTCTGTCATATTGTGGGAGAGCCAATGAGAGATACTGTAGTGTATGTACAGTACAGCAGCCAATCACTGGGTTTCTCGTAACAAGTGGTGCATGTTGGGAGAGGGTACATATACTGGAGGGATTTGCCATGTGCTGAGACTAGCCGGGACCAGCCATGGAATAGGGCTAGGCCTGGGGGTAGGCATGGGCTGGTGTGAGGGAAAGGTTTCCCTGAGGCCTCCAACATGGAGGAGGCCTGTGTTGCTGATAGAGGAAGAGACCCAGGACCAATGCTGGCTCTTGAAGTATCCTGGAACTAAGAGGACTTCAGGAGTGTGGACGGTGTTTTTCCTGTTAAGGATCTGTGTTCATCCTGCTCATCTGCTATTTCAGTTGCTGTCCGCTGCCTCCCAAGTGGATCTACACTGATATGCCAACCAGGTCTGGTGAGTGTGGAGCTCTTGTCAGTTACCCCTGGAAGCTTAGAACCCCTATACCCTCTCTCCCCAGTGAAGATGTTCAATAAAACGTTATTCTGCATTATACTACTGGAGTGGACGTCAGTCTGTGGGCACTAGAAGAAGGGCCGTTAATGCTAATGGGTGGGCAGCTGAAGAACATACCCTAGACAGACTAGAGATGAACCGGGCATTCAGCGGCTCCTTCGGGGGGTGATCGCTACACATTTATTTCAGTGCATGTGAACAAGTTGCAGGTAAGGAATTGAAATAACGTTTGCTAAAAAGTTTCTGTGTAAATTGCATACCTCTCAGGAAAACCGGAGTTCTTTTAATTTCCATTAGTGCCTTTTTTCCTTGTGAATTTCTAATATTGTATAAATTATAATGTTAGTTGTATGTTATTTGCTATTCCATAAGGTGGCACTGATTTGTCACTAAAAGCACTATGTTCTGTAAATAGCTAGTGTATTACAATAAATGGAGTATTATAAAAGATTTACAAGGCAGTACAGCAACCAACTCTTATAATAATTTGATAGCATCCAGCTGTCTTATTAGTTCAAGTGCTTGTATATTATGAATACTAGATGCTTTGTGGTTACAGCTGATGTGAACAGATGAACAGGCTGCCTTGGGAAAGAGACTGTTCAGAAGTGTATAATCTAAGAGGCGTGTTTCTTAGGGAGGAACAGCACACGTTCAAGATCCAAGATCAGTTTTTTGCGGTACTTTTTGTTTTAAACACTACGGAAGTTTACCAAACTGAAAGGTAATCATTTGGCATTGTTAGCCCCGAGCTTCCTTTGTGGAGTAATTGAGTTGGGTATTTTAAAAATCGGGCATTCTTGATTCTCATTTAAAACATCTAAAATGCGGCAGGGAAACTGGTGAGTTTTACTTTTTAATTACTATAACAACTCTGTGCCTTTGCATGTGAGATACCTTCTATGTAGCTGTAACAGTTCTGTGTCTTTAACACAGGATGGGGATTCCAAGTGTAAGACTGCTCTTGCCTTTATTCATGATTCATACTACCAGCCAAGCTCAGGTGAGATTTTCCTAATCCTAAATAAGGACACATGCTTCCTGCTTTAGTACATAGTGAGCCTGATCCTGTATGTATGCATCTTCATTGGCCAAAACAATCATATAGATTTAAGATGAACAAAAATGTAATGCCATGCATAATTAGTGTTAGCGTACACAAGCATTTGAGATTAAGTAATAAAAGCAGTAAGAACTAAGCCTGTATATAAAAGCCTTTATTGAATATTTGCTACTTGGTTTTTGGGATTTGGTCAGCTCTGACTTTCTTCTGTATATTACATTCAAAGATTCAATATAAGAAAATGTATATAGAACATGGATGTAGAAAATATTTTCTTGTTTTATTTATTATGCAAACAAGATTATTCCATTGCTGTTGTTTTCCTGGTCTTATCAGTGGACTAACAGAATTCTCAGATTCCTTTTGTCCTACGATTTCCTCTTGTTCCCAGCTGTTGCACACAGAACTATCAGGGAGGCTATGAGTACTCCCCGCTCTCTCCACAGCAATACATGGGGAAACATGTACTCACAGGCATTTGAATTATGAAAACAATGTGCTTTCTACAAACTTTGCCATTTCAAATTAGGCTTCAGTAACTCTACATGATGCAGCTTGGTTTATGTATACTGAAGATTATGTGGCATTTCAAAAGTTATTGTTTTTTTCATGAATGACAGATGGAAAAAAGTTGTCCATACTGCACATGGAACTCTTTCTTAGATGTCTAACCTGCTTATAAAAGTAATCGCTATTTTACCGCTTATTTTTTATATAATGGCTATACCATAGGCTGTGCCTCTATTTGTCATGCTAGTGGCCTATGTATCTTAATTTTATTGCTACTGTAGCCCCTACCACCTTCTGTGGAGTGGCTACTAAAAATGTAGCATTGCCAGAGCTGTAGTCAGCCTGGCGGATTTATAGTTGGCTATTATCTGGTTAATTTCAGGTGTTCTGCTATTAATTGTACCTGCCTGTGATTGTATTGATTGTACCTGCCTAACGGTGGGGTGTGACCCTGTTGCAATTTGGGGTGACCAATGAGAGAACACCTTGAGTGTCTGTGCCTCACTATCCAATCACTGGGAGTCTCATGGCCAGTGGTGCATGCTGGGGGAGTGCATATATAGTCAGGAGATTTGCCATGTGCTCAGTCCAGCCTGCCCCTGGACTGAGCCTGGGGGTGGGATGCCAAGTATGGAAATACTGACTAGCCTCACACCTGGAGGAGGCCACACATGTGGACCCTGGAGGGTTCAGGAAGTGATTGAGAAAGAGAACCAGAGAAGCTGGATGGCTACATGGGGTACCTGGTACTGGTATGGACATCAGGAGAAAGCCTGGTGTCTTTCCTATGGAAGATCTCATGACTATCCCTGTTCAACTGTTGCTCTATTACCCAGTGTCTGCCTGTTCTCCTATTGATTCTGCACTGTGGAAGACTGTAAGGGACTGATGAGTCTGGAGTCTGTTCTAATTTTTGCCATGGATGTCCTAAGCCCTGAATCATCTCTCCCAGTTATGAAGTTCTCCAATAAAGCATTTGAAAAGGCACTTAAAGTGACTGGCACCACAACTTCTTGATCACATGTCCCTTCACTGGCTAAGGGTCAGCCCCTGAGAGTGAAATGTCAGCCCTCTCTGCCCTTTGGGAGTCCACCTCAGGCCTCTGGGCGTTGGGGGGGGGGAGATGTCACTTGTCCTGGAATTCCAGGAATGCTTCGGGAATTGGAGTTAGCCATTCTGAACACTATTATTGTAGGATACTAATGTACAGCTCTAAAATGATTTTGGTTCTTTTATAAAGTAGGTAAGAGACAGTTGGAGTCTGCAAAGCGGGAGAATGCTGCATTCTTCATCTGGACTGTGGACAACATGGGGATCATGGACTACTTGCTCCAGTTCATGTGGGAATGGAGTGATACTTAGAAGCCGCAAGTGTCTGAGGTGCATAAACTAAAAGATTTTGCAAATGGCTAATAAATACAGTGGGGGGAATTTATCCAAACTGGAGCAGTCAGAATCTGGAGCCCTTCTCTTTAGTTTGTTCAGTTACGTTTTGAAAAAGAAAGACAGAAGCTGATTGGTTGCAATCCACAGCTGCCCTAGATTCTGCCTGCTCCAGTATGTTTTTAAAGTATGCGGCTTTTGGTGCCAATATAAAGTGTAAATGACAAGTGTTCCTAACGTCCAAACTATCCCTAAATGTAAAACAGACAATGACAGTTAATCTTTCCCTTACTTGAACCTTGAAAGCTTAACATTCAAAAAATGAACCTTTAATTCTTGCCCCTAACACTTAAGCTGAACTTTAGGCACAGTGCTAAATCTACAGTTATAGCATAGAGATGGTATTTGTTTTACTTGCCAAAAGAATTTCTGTTCATCCAGTCAAGTTTTACACAGTGTTTTTAGACAGCACAGTCAGGTTAGTGACCTGATTTTTTATATTGCAGTTAGGGGAACAATACCAGACTGGTGACCTCAGCAGAACTCCCTGTTAGTTTTCTTGCTGTCCTACTGGTGTTTTGGCTTTCTCAATCACTGACTTAGGGCAAGGATATAGATAAGTAGTTCTGATTTTCTTCTCACTTTTGCTACGTGTTCCAATTTGTTGCAAGATGCAGTCGGGCAATTACCTTTATTAAAGCGAAACCAGCAATGGCAGCTCCCATATTATTTTTGTGACATATATACTTGTATTTACTCGGTTTCATTCGTCTGCAGATCAAAAGGGTGACCTTGTTCTGCATATGGTGTCAGTTAAAGAAATCCTAGCAAAACAACATTTTGTAAATAAAATGTGTTCCTTTTAAACGCTTTATTAACTCTTAAGTAACTATAATCAGCCTTAATATACGATATACTGTTCTCTTCCCTACTTTTATTAACATTGTACTCCTTAATAACATTGTATTCTTCAATAGCAACAAATAATGCCTTTGGAAACAAAGTTACCTTGTAATAACTTACCTTGTACCTAACTCTTAGGTAAATATAATCAGCCTTAATATACCAAACACTATACTCTGATTTTCTATTTCTATTTTTTTTACTAACAATAAATATTAAAACTTTAATATTATAATTAATTCTGTTTGTTAATTTTTTGAGTGTCACATTAGAAAAAGGCTTTATTTTATTTGTAAATAACTTCTACAAACTTTTTACTAATTGTAGTATAACAAATTGGTGGAAATATAAAATCAAACTATAACAACACTAGTTGTACAAGCTAACAACAAGAACACATTTTTAATTTTTGTTAATTATTGTCTATAGATTGCATAGAATATAAAATAATTTTTGCAAGGCAATATTAAAAAAATGCCTTGTTTGAGAGCAGAATTGGATAATATTACCTATGTTATAGGAATACATAGAACGTGCTGTATTCATGGCTATATACATTGGGACGAATTTATCATAGCAATTGGGAGTGTTTGAACTTGTATATGGTCACATGGCATATATTTGCGCCAGATTTATGTTGCTAGTGTAATGTTGTTCATAATGAGGTCATAAATGAGGTTAAATATACTCCAGGTCAAAACAGGCACACATGTTCAAAGGTGCGTTTAAACAGATTTGCACTTTAAAAAAAATGATCTAAGAGGCTAAAACTGTCGCAATTGTGTTAATAAATTCCCTCCAGAGTATTAAACATTTATCAGAATGTTAATTTCACCTTTCCAAGGTCTTTTTCAAAGGATAAGTGTGTGGGAAAGACGCGGCAGTACAAAACTTGTCAGTCTATGGTAAGTCTGATGGTCCAGTGTGGAGGATCTAGGTCAGTGCACAGTAGAATGTCCAACACTCAACTGTTGTGTGAAGGGACACAACATTCTAAAATGTCATCCATTGTCCAGCTCAGATTGTACCACTATTACTGAGTTTACATTTATAGCTGTCCTCTATTGGTGTGTGACTATGTCCGGCATGTAGGCTCTTTATAAACTACCTGTACACATTTATTGGAGGAAGATCTGGCTAAGAATGCACCTTGTTCTAATGTTAAAGGAGAACTATGGGGTCAGGGCTTTTCCCCATAGTTCTCCTACCGGTAACGGGAGAACACATACTAGCGTTCTCCCGTGACCAAAGCTCAGTATACCGCGAGCTACAGCTTGCGCTATACTGAGACGCCGCAGCTGGGACGAATCCCTACAATACTGTCTGGATCCACCCAGCTGCGGGATTGACAGCTGGCTCTGTCTATCCAGAGGCAGAGCCAGCTGTGCCCACCCCCTTCCCCGTCCGTTTCACCAGTCAGCACTGGAGGATCGGACAGGGGAGGGGGGGAATCCCTGCAGGGAGCCGTGAGTGACAGTCACGGCTCTCTCCCGGGATAGATGGAGAAGTGAGCGAGCGACGGTATGTGTTCGCTCACTTCCCGATCTATTGAGCTGACCTGTGACAGTTTCATTGTCACAGGTCGGCTCAGATTATGAGGCTGAGTGAAAATCAATTGCCTCATAATTCTCCTTTAAGCTAAATAGGACCAAGTGCACAATTGTTGTAGGAATGGGATGTTGAGTATGCAGTTCAGTTTTGGTCACCAATCCTTAGGAAAGATGTCCTCGAACTTGAGAGAGTTTAGAGAAGGGCAACAAAATTAAAAAAGGGGATGGAGAACCTGAGCTCCTCCAGAAATTAAACTTGTGCTCCTTAGAGGCGCTTAAGAGGAGACTTGATTGCAATTTTCATTATCATTAATGGGGACCACAATATTCACAATAAAATGACACAAGGCCACAACATGAGGTTGGACGAGAGGTGGTTTTATGTTAGGCTGCTATACAAGGATATGGGAACTATTAGAGACAGATATCTATATATATCTATAGATATACACACACACACACACACGTTGAACTGGATGGACCTGTGTCTTCATTCAACCTTATCTACTATGTTACAATGTTAATATGTGGTTGTCAGGGTGTTGCATGTATCTGTCACACTGAGCCTTAGTTTTCGACTTATATCAGACCCCTTTAAAATACAGCTATATAGAGGTAGTACAAGACATAGCTATCTGCAAATTTAAAAAAACAGAGCATAAGTCATCCAATAATGTTCACAAGGTCCATAAATGTATACTTTTACCCAACAAGCACCTTAATAGCGAAATCTTTATTTATCTGTAGTAGTATGTATACTTCACACTGTTGGTCTTTATATGAAGTGTTCCCTTTCTGGCAAATGTTGAATTTTAAAGTAACTTTTTTGTTTTGTTTTGGATATATAGTTGGGAAGGGTTAAAACCCCTATCAGATTATTTTTTGCTGTCTATGTCCAAATGGGGAGATCTTGACATGACTGGAGACATGACAGGCAGAGCCAAATTACCCAGAAGGTCATCTTGGCCTAGGTTACAGTGGGTATCTTTCTAGAAAACCCTGGAGGGAATTAAGGTAATGTAACCATCGCTACTACATAGTAGAATGGTTACATTTATCTGCTAATCCCCTCTAGTGTTCTCTAGAATTGTTACATTGTATCTCTTGTTACTAAGATGTACTTATTTTCCATAACCCCCAGATTCATCTAGTGGCCATAGTATTCAAAGAACATTCAACCAGAAATAAAAATAGCCTTTAGAACATTTCACTCACAGCAGCTTGTTAATGCGCACAGAATAAATGGACAGGCAATTTCCCTGGATGCAGCGCTATGGGTCAAAAACTAATATAATGAGTCTAACCTAAAGACTATTAGTGAACAGTATCCCTTGGTTGTGCATAAATATAATAGGTGCAAATAGACCTCTTAGGATTAGTGTGAATAAATGAGATGGTGTGATCTGTATGTTTGCAGATGGAACACAGCACAAAAGTCACTGCATAGCTGGCAAGAGAACCTGCAACTGTAAAACACAAACCCTGATCAATGTCTTGTTAAAGTAAACATTTTTAGAAGCTGCACAATTAGCTGCACAATGAGGAGTTTTTTCTTCTTCTTGTAATTTTGGCAATCTATCGATTCATGGAACATTGGTGGGAGAACTTATAAATAGATGTGAAGACTCCATGGTCTATTAGTGAGCCTACTGTTGCCTATATAAAATAATATTGCGGTGAGTTTGCACTGCTAAGGGGGTGTTGGCGTGGACACGAACACGGTGTGGGAAAAGACCATCAAGCACTTTGTGGCTTGTGTTTCTACACACGTTGGATAGATTAACACCTACTTTCACTGGTCAATCACATTGGATATGATATAAGCCTCTGGACTTTTATATTCTTTCTGAAATACTTTTTTTCACTCTTTTGTATTTACTGGAGTAAGAATTTATGAATTTATATTTTTACACTTATTTATATGTATATTTATCTTTATAGTCAAAGCATATACTGCACGATTTTGCACTTTCTATAACAATTTGATTGTTATTACTTTACAGTATATACTAGGTAGCGGATATAATACGAGGTAACAGATTATATGTAGCACATGATTTTCATACCTTTATATTTATTCACACTAATCCTAAGAGGTCTATTTGCACCTATTATATTTATGCACAACCAAGGGATCTTTAGGTTAGACTCATTATATTCGTTTTTGACCCATAGCGCTGCATACTTGTTATTTACATCTTGACATCTTACATCTTGTTATTTACATCTTGATTAACCCATAAGTGCAGATTTGTCATTATTTTATAATTTCCCTGGATGAATGCAGGAAATCCAAAAAAGCAAAGATGCCAGTCACTCAGATCTCTTTGAAACTAGCAGGGCAAAGTACTCTGTGGCAGATCATTGTACATAACAGCACAAAGGGGGTCCTCAGCACATTTTGACTGCCTTTACATATAGTTTAAGATGTTTTATTCCAAGCCTAATGTCACATTTTAACCTCACATGTACTTGTGTAGTATATACTGTAATTACTACAGAATTTCTTAATTAATAATCAGCTGGAAAGAATAGTCTGGTTACTAGGGCAAGAAAAGACATTCTAACTGTGATTTGATATGAAAGACTTCACAGTAATAGAACAAAGAGTAAACAGCATACATATAATCATAATATGGAGAGAATATGCTAAAGCATTCAAACAGCAACACAGCATTGTCATGTGTACAGACCATATTTCCTCAGTCTTTAAGTGGCAGTTCAGCAGAACATTTTACATACATTAAACATTTAAAGCTGAACTGCAGCCAGAAATACTTCCATTAACATTGTATTCCTCAATATCAGCAAATGATAAAAATCTACTTTGTCTGCTCCAAATGCCTTTGCAAATAAAGTTATTACCTTGTAAAAATAGCAGTGACATCATCACTGTAGACTGTGAGAGCAGAGCAGTGGGAGGGACTCGGCAGCTCCACCCTCTGTAGGCTGCCTGTAAAAATTACAGGAGCGGGGTAGATACAAGACCAGTCACTCTGCACAAGGAGAGAGAGAGCAGCAGTAACCGGTCTTTATCACAGGAAAAGTTATACACTGGATTACTGCACAGTTCTGGAAGAAATACACAAAGTATGTAAACAGTATTCGCTTATGCCAGAAATTAGCTTTAAAACAACACTATTATAAAAGTGGACACTGCAACACATATGGCCATAAGTATTTTACAAAATAATGATTAAAATATACGTATTTGTTTTCTTATTGCTAACAGAGCATTTTTTTGTCCTTGCATGCTGGTTGGTGTGTATAATTTCACAGATGTGCCCTGCAGAAGCTTTACCCTTCAGAGATGTGCAATGTGCTAGCTACAACAACAAACCGTTACCAGGTTCATCTGAGCAAACATACATCTGGGTGCCATTTTATGGAGGTAACCAAATGCCTTTAATAAAGTTTCACTTTCACATACAGACAAACGACTACTACCGTATATGTTTTACTAATGGTGAAATGGCAACATTAAGTGCTTATATTCTAATGTTAGGTTCTTTATATACCAGGTTTGGTCGCTAGAATGTCTTTTATTCGGGGACATATTTAAAACAGGCCTTGAAATGTGTTGTTAGAATGTCCTTGGAAGGTCTTGTTGGGCAATCCTGGACAGACAATTAGTCTTCTAATATCGTACAACAAGGTATTTCAGGCTATGCATCACCGTACAGCTGATAATGTTCCAAAATAACAGAGATCAAGAAATTATAAATGTGTGGCAAGCACAAATGAAAGAGGTTATAAGAAGGTCCCACATGGCATTCGCCTTAAAAAGCGCACATTTCTTTGAAGATGCTAGGTTTTGGCACAATCAACTATATCATATCTCCACGGCCGAGCTAATCTCTTTTCTAATCCTTACTTTTTTGTATCTCTTCTCTTCTAAATCAACTTTCAAAACAGCAGAGCAGAGTTTTTTTGTTTTTTTTAAATTTCCTTACCAGTCTGATGCTTTTTCCAGTGTTTAAAATTACAACAGTAACACCATGGTATATGCTTAACCTATAGTTCTAAAACTTACCCTGGGCAGGTATGGATCAGAATGCAAGCATTTATACTTTTTATTACATAATAAGCTGTGCCTGCTGTACTCAGGGCCGGATTTCCCACAAGGTCAACCAAGGCCCGGCCTCGATATATATACAGTATATATGGACACACACATATTGTACACACATATGTTGAATTTTAAAATAAATGATTGCTTTGAAAGTCTTATTTCTTTTTCTTTTTATCCTGCCCTTGTTTCCAAGAACCAAAAGAGATTCGTGTTGGAAATTTCTGTATAAGTTATTAATATGTGTGATAATAATAAGTAATTATCTAAAATACTCATGTCAAATATATACATCATTTCAGCTCCCAATGCCTGTGATTTAAACTGCTTGGCTGTTGGATATAACTTTTATTATACCTTTGGGCGAGTACTGGATGGAACCAGCTGTGAGGCAGACGGTACCTGCATCAGCGGCAATTGCATGGTAATAATCTTATAATCCTTAAATAGGCTTTATGTGTAACTATACATAGACAAGAATTTTTATAGAAAGCTTTTACTATCATTGGTGTGGGGGGGAGTTAAGTATGGGAGTTTGGGGAGCTAGCTGTGTTTCTTTTTCGTTTCCAAACATTTTATGGACTGTGAAATGTGTATTAAAAAGGGAAATATTAATAGGTATAGGTAGGTAAAAGGTATACAAAAGTATGCATTTTTAGTGCAATCACCATATCGTTAATTTAGTCAGATCCCACCTCTTTCTAAAATTATGTCATCTTCAAGACAAAATATATATCCTAAAAGACAATATTGTCCAACATTCTAGGTAGATGATCTCAGCTGGTAAAGCCACAATTAGTTCTCGGTTATTTTTGCAGCATTCTGGTAACTTTATAAAATCACTTTTTGTTTTGGCTTATGCCTCACATTCCTTTCCTAAGTGCCTTATGCAAAGGAAATATTGTTCATCCACAAATACAGAGAGAACACTCTTTATGTAGACATCAATTCATATCTACCCTCCTTTACTTCTCTCTTCCTTTCCATAAGCACTTAAAGTCTGTATAAGAATACAGAGATGCTGTATAATTAGACTGTGGGTGAATTAACCTATCAATGTTCAACAAAAACTAAAAAAAAATGTTTTGGATAAACTATGTCTTCAAAAGAAATATGTAGTCCTTTCAGTAATTTTACATCTATGTGGATTAATATTTTAAAAACCTTTTTTTGTCTATGTGTAGTTTTTAGTGATATGCAGTATGTATATTTGGACAGCTACACTTGTTCATTACCTACACAGTCTCGACTTACTGATTAGCAGTGTTTACATAGGGATGAGTAAATGAGTCTGGTTCAGTTCGCGGGTTGTTTGTCAAATCCTGCGTAGAGTCTGAAAATTCAGAACTTAAAATCAAACCCAATTAAAGTTCATAGAGGGTGAATCCTGGTAATCAATTCTGGCCATTGTCAAGGCTAATAAAATGTCAAAACAATGTGACCAGAAACACTTTAAAAGCATAATCACACAGTCCATGAACCCCCTTTCCATCCCCATATCCCTAATTATACCTAAAATATTTAAAAAATAAAAAGATATACTTCAGATATGTGTTTGGTAGAAACTGGCTAGTATCAGGATAGTATGCAAACACTTGAATAGGCAGCAATTTTAAAGAGTCAAGGTATGTTTTGTCTTGCAATGTTTTATTGTTCTATTACCTGAGAGACAATAGCCACAAATATTGTACAGCGACTGGACAGTGTGTAAGAAGTTTGGTTATGCTGCAATATAAAAGAGAGAGATGAGGCCAGTTTTATCTGCACATAAACATTAGGGTATACTATTTAAGGGACAATAGCCACAAATATTGTACAATGGCTGGACAGTATGTAAGCAGCTTGATTAGGTCACAATGTACGAGGGAGAGTCGAGGCAGGTTTTATCTTCAAATAAACATTAGAGTGTATTTGTAGAAATACATATTTAGTATTAAGCATCCTCATCTCCATCTAGTGGCCATAATGTGGTATTACATTTGACCTGGAAATAAAATATAAGAAGGTTTGTTTTTACCCCATTCACAAGGAACGCTCATTCACAGGAATCCGCAGGATGAATGGCTCCATGAATTGTTTATAAATAGACCCATTTAGGTTGGATGACCCATATAAATCACCTAGGATTCTCTAATTTACAATGCTGCACCACATGTGTTAATTGCCATAAGATTCCTTCTTTTCATCTAACTATTATTTTCAGCTTTCATTGGCTGTCACTGCTGAAAGCAATGAATCACTATGGCAAATGACAATGGTTTAACATGAATTGTCCCTCATTTGTGAATGTGCTCTTATTCCACAGAAAGCAGGCTGTGATGGTGTACTGGGGTCTGAAGTACCTGTTTACTCGTGTGGAAGCTGCGGTGGCAAGAAAGAATCTTGCATTTTTATCTGGAATGTTTTCCGGGACCCTTATCCATCTACAGGTTATGTTTTATTTCTGAGAACTCATCGCATTCCTGCAAAATACCATGACAATTAGCATTAGCTTAGCACTACACTGAACGTGGTTCTTGTGTTGTCAGTTTCTTTTCTACGCGTATATACCATAACTGGAGCAGTTATGGTTGGAGAATGACCATCAATAAGCATTCCAGGATCCTGAAATACAACATATAGTGTTACAGACTTAAATAAGCCTTACATTGTTCTGAAATACAGTTGAAGAGAGTTATGACTCACTGGGATAAGGAACAAATCTTTCAATGCAGACTGTAATAAATAAAATAAAATAAATGCAGTGAAAATCACAGCTGCTATGTAAAACCTGGCAACAGTTAACTATTAAAGTATTTTTCATTGTGGATGACCTACATTCTCTAGTATAGCTAGCATTACTACTTAGCTAGACACTTTGCAGAAATATTGACTCTGTCACTTTAAGAATTAAAACAGGTACAATGTGCTGGCACCTTTTAGTATCATCTGCCTCGCCTAAATGTTGGGCCATTCTGATAGGAAAAGTTAAGCCCTTTTCCATAGCCCTCCAGCCCTACTTTCCTATTGGCCAGTAGGGCAGCCTATCATTGAGATGGGCCTTAATGGCAAACTCTGACTCTACCTAGAAGTGTCAGTGCTTTGCTTGATTAAAACAGCCCCACATTTAGGCGAAGCACAAAATACCGAACGCTACTTCAGGTATGTACAGTTACCTTCTGTTGAGTATCCTTAAGGTAACAGAGTCTCTTTCATACACAGAAGTAATATGTGTTCTATACTGAGGGAGCTATTTTAACATTTGTCCAGGAACTGTGTTCGTATCAAATAATACATTAAGTTAAGCTTATTAGTTTAATTTTTTCTAATTTACTTTTCCAACTTTCATTTGCAATTTAATTTTAGGGTTCTTTCAATACAGAAATGTAACCAGGATTCCAGCTGGTGCATCACATATTAAGGTGAAGGATCAAAGCCGCAATATTTTAGGTAAACCCAAATATATATTTACATATATTCTAAATATACTGAGGGAAATGTATCAAAACTGGAGCAGACAAAATCTGAAGCAGCTGTGCGTGGCAACCAATCAGCCTCTCTATTTCTTTTTCAAATCTTAGCTGAACAGACTGAAGAGAAAAGCTGATTGGTTGCCATGCACAGCTGCTCCAGATTTTGTCTGCTCCAGTTTTGATAAATTCCACTCACTGTATTCAACATGAAGAATCAGTTCACTTCATATGCTAAATTCCCCCCATAGTATATTGTATAAAGAAATACATTAGATTAGCTTTTGCTCTTTAATTCAGTTGCCAGCTTTCTTTATATAAAGCCCATCTCTGGGCAACCAAAAACTACCCTTGCAGTTGGACTACTCTACTGCAAGGGTTAAGATCTGTTTTTGTCTAGGAACTGAAATAAAGCACTTTTACTTACCTGCTCCTCCAGCAGTCAGCGCTTGCCTCTTCTCCTCCTTCACTGAAGCTGAACTCAGCAGGTATAAAATAATCATATACATGTTAAATGTATTTTAAAAGCAGCTAGTGTAATCACATCAATCTTGCTTGATATCAGCCCATTGTAATTCCCTGTACAGCAGCCCTGAGAGGGATGGCCAGCATGCATATGCACTGACAGGGTATATAGTGATTGGAAGAGAGCAGAGTGATGATTCCTCAGTGACCTGCTGCTCCTTCATTTTCCAGTCAGCAGGCACTTGGTGTTCTTGCCCAAGCTGTGTTGCTGCTCCTACAGAGGAGGCTGAGGATCTGGCAGCAGTGGTTTGATCACAAAACTGGGTGAACAGTTATAGATCTATTGGCAGGTAAAACACTTCCCAGACACGTATTTCAAATGTTTATTTAAGTGCTTGGCCGGAGTTCAGCTTTAAATTCAGCATCTGCCTATCCCTATCAGTCACTGAGCTGTCAGCATCAGTGTTACAGAATAACAAACCATGCAGGAAGAAATGTGAGTGTTGGTTATAGATTGATACTGGAGTTTATATGGAGAAAAGAGTAACTTGTACGTCAGTCAATTGTGTGTGAGTGGGAGAGCAATGTTCTGATCTTGTTACATGCTGACAGATTACAGTATTGTGTGCAAGACTTCTTTAACCACTTGCTGACCAGGTGTTTACACCCCGTTCCTGTCCAGGCCATTTTTCAGTGTTCAGCGCTGTGGTACTTTGACTGACATTTATTCCGTCATGCAACGCTGTACTGAAATAAATTTTATACAATTTTTTGGGGACACATAGGGCTTTCTATAAAAACACTACAGGTTTTAATTTTTTTACTATATAATCAAAAAAGTACCGAAAATTTCGAAAACAAAACTGTTTTCCCTACGTTATGTTATAAAACAATTATTATTACCCAAAATGTTGGCAAAATATAAAAGACGGGGTCACGTCGGGTAAATAGACACCAAACATGTCAAGCTTTAAAATTGCGTGCGCCTCGAACTTGCAAAAACTACCATACCCAAAATTGGCCATAGGCGACGCTTTAAAAGCTTTTACCGCTCATCAGTTTAGTGTTATCGGTGATTAATGGCTCTAAAATGATTGCTCTCACTGCGACGTCCGCGGCGATATGTAACATGTGCGGCGTAATGGATGCAATCGTCGTTTCCGCACGTAGGTGCACTCTACGCATGTTTGCATGTGAATGTGGGGGGCGGGGGACTTTTAAAAAAATGTCTTTTTTTTATTACCTTTATATGTGACTTTTAATTTGTTTTTATATTTTTTTTAACTAATTCTTTTAGATCTTTTTCTTTTCACTTAGCTTTATTGCTATCACATAGGGGACTAACAAGCCCTCTTTGTGATAGCCAATTTTCAGTGTCAGGTCCTCTGTATGGAGAGACACCAAACATGTCAAGCTTTAAAATTGCGTGCGCCTCGAACTTGCAAAAACTACCATACCCAAAATTGGCCATAGGCGACGCTTTAAAAGCTTTTACCGCTCATCAGTTTAGTGTTATCGGTGATTAATGGCTCTAAAATGATTGCTCTCACTGCGACGTCCGCGGCGATATGTAACATGTGCGGCGTAATGGATGCAATCGTCGTTTCCGCACGTAGGTGCACTCTACGCATGTTTGCATGTGAATGTGGGGGGCGGGGGACTTTTAAAAAAATGTCTTTTTTTTATTACCTTTATATGTGACTTTTAATTTGTTTTTATATTTTTTTTAACTAATTCTTTTAGATCTTTTTCTTTTCACTTAGCTTTATTGCTATCACATAGGGGACTAACAAGCCCTCTTTGTGATAGCCAATTTTCAGTGTCAGGTCCTCTGTATGGAGACATCAGGGGTCTTTAAGACCCCTAATGTCACGTAAGGACCCCAAGAGAAGCTGATGAAGCAAACACCTGCTTCCAACGCCCACCCGCTTTTAAGAAGCCGCTGTCCGGCCGGACAGCAGGTGGTTAAAGAATTGCTTATCCGTAAAACGCAATACACAAAAGGAAGTTGAAAAAAATATATGTTTTTGTCAATGGGAATTTTTCTACCTATTACTGTTTCATTTTGTTATACTAAATGGCTAGATAATAACACAAGTCTTAATTGTGTATTTTCTCTGAAAAACTCTCTTTTAAAGAAAAACTGTAATGGTTTTAGGTCAATGTTAATTTAGTTTTCTTTAAACGTTTATACATTTTTAAACTGTTGTTTATTTATTTTTTTAGTATTAATATACAATCTTTGTTTTATAAATAATAATGTATTTCATGACAAAGGATTCAGAGAGCACCCTGGGTTAACCAAAGACAGCGCAGCAGTTTGTGTACATTAAAGCTTGAGCTTTTGAGTTCTGTAAACAACAGGCTACTTACATCACAGAAAAGAGCCTATAAAACTTAAATGTTACATTGCTGACTCAAAAAGAAAAGGCTACATATTATTATGAAATATTTCATAGATACCTAAAAATATGTCTAAACAAATGCATGTAGCTTTGATCATTACTTAAAACAACCATAAAGGTGTATTTTTAAAGTAATGACCATATTAAGCAATGAACGAGTACAAAAACCACTATACACTCCCTTTAACATTTGCTACTTCTGTACAAATTGTATGTTATACTGAACCTGTTAAATGCTCTCAAAGATTAGGGACCCTTTTTGTCAAATGTTCATGCATTTTACTGTTCTGCATATTGAGTTGTCACTTCTATATTTACCTTAGCCCTGATGAGCCTGAGCAAAGGTTATGAGATCAATGGAAACTGGGCCATGTCCCGGCCAGGCATTTACAGGGTGGCAGGTACAGAAGTCCGTTATGGTCATGATGGCAGTCATGAGTTTCTGGAGGCACCAGGACCTACAAATGAGGACTTATATATTCTGGTGAGAAGCCTTCTTCACTATTCATTTCTACTGAACCATAACATCATAGTAGTTGGAGTATGCTTATTAGCCTTTGACCTACAATTCTTTATTGCCTGTTTACAGGTTCTCTTTCAGGTGCAGAACCCAGGCATTGAATATGAGTACTGGCTACCAAATGACAGATACTTTGACATCCAGAGGGATTCACAAACACAAGCACCACAGCACCACAAGCATGCAATTTTGGATGTCTGGGTACGCACTCCTACAAATGGCAATGAAGAAACCACAATGGGGACAGAAAAAAAGAGTGCTGATCCTTTTACTGTAAAAACAGGTACCTAAATTACAATTTAGTTCATACAGATCTTCATTGTGTTTATCCAGTTAATGTTCACATAACACTATATTGAACTAAAACAGCAAATACTATAGTGCAAGCCACTTGTTAAAGCTGAACTTTGGCAAGTAGACCTGATTTTTCTCTACTTCCGTTAAGTAATACTTACAGGTCTCCTCACTACTCCCAGTCTGACACTGGTAAGTGAAGAAGAAGCAGCTGCACACTGATAATATTATCTCTATGACGTTCTGTTCTCTTCTCCTCGCATGTTCCTTGTCAGCACATGATTACATCCTTGTGCTGC